TTTGGGTAACTCTGTGATCTCAAATGTGTGGAAAGTGATAGGTACGTGTTGTGCCAACTTAAAACGAGATAAGGATAAAAGACTTGAATATTTGAAAATAACATTCCTAAAGGAAGATAAGTAAAACCTTTCTAATTAGGAGTGAGCACTTGGAACCAAATACCGAAACCGAAATTCGGACCGAACCGCAATTCAGCCACCAAAATCGTACTTTTTAGCAGTTGGCATTGGCATATATAAAGTAATTAATTTGTACCAAGTCCATGTTGTTCTATTAACTCGTATAGTTGAAACTAATTGAAGGTGTGGGGTTGCTATTCAAGGGAATAAATTAAAACAGAGTTGGCTTTTGCAACTGTTTCTGAAAATAGTACAGAAAAGTAGATCTGAAGAATTCATTACATAACAAACTGGGATTCCATCAATTTACCTCACAAAATAAATGGACAGAAATCCTTTCCATATTTCACTGTTTGAAGCTAAGAACATGTAATTCAGATTACTTAAATTGAATATGATGATCTTCATTAACTTATTCTGCTGATTCACCTTACACAAATAAGAACTTCAATATTTCTTTTACGCAAACCAAAAACCCAAACAAATTAATTAGTTTTTAACTAATTTCAACAAATTTTTTTTTTTCAGTTCAGCGGAGCCTCTCACCAAATTACCCAACAAATGATAATAAAATTAGCAATAATTGACCAAAAATCACATTTTAATATAAAACGCTTGAGTCAATCAAAATTCGTGGGACCTCATGCACCATAAACCGTTGCGGGGACCTTAACATCTAGTTTGCCAAATCTTCCACTAATTGGAAAGCCTCACCCATTTTCCATGAGAGCGACCAAGGGGGAAGTAACGTTGGGAAAAGGACCACAGTTTAGGTCTAACGTTGGGAAAAAGATGGAAAAATATCTACGTTGATTAAATAAGTACTTAACTGGCACCCAGTTATTCGCTGTGCCTAATTAATTGCATGTTGGCAAGAATAAATTTTTCATTGTGATCAGAATATAAATGGTACATCGCGTGTTTATATATAAGTGGTGGAAAATTTTGTTTTTTAAGTTATTAATTTTTTAACATACATATCCCCACCATTTGTATCAAGGACGAAGCTAGAGATCTGCATGGATGGGGACATCATCAAATAACAAAGTTACAAATTAAAAAGTTCAAAAATGTACTCAACAAAACACTTATATATTAATCCATAAGGTTTTTTATACTACTTATTACAATATCCTTCTACGTATTTTATGTTTTCAAACGTTGAATGACAACTTCATTGCTAATACCATCAAATCTCTCCCTATAAAAAAATAATCATGTTATCATTTATCCATTGATCTTCCATCCAATTTTTCAACATAAATTTTACGGTTGAATATGTTCTTCCAACGATGGTAATAGTGCATAAAAGAGTTGATACTAATGTCACAAGCAACTAAAGGGGGCATCCGCCCCCTGAGCCTAAGCCAGCTACGTCCATGATTTGTATAGTGACACGTGATGTACCATCCCGTGTACTGGTCACACTGAAAAATCGGTAGGTTGGAAGGAATAGAGAGTTTGTCTATAGTTAGGGTAGAAGAGTGGGTTAAGCTTTACACTGGGCTAGTCATAATAATGTGGTTTGAATTCACCTTTAGCGGGAATCGAACCTAAAACCTCTCACTCACAACTAATTTCTAAAACAAGTGCTCTATGTGTGCTTCATAAGTTTTCTCACTTGTATGGGTCGAAAATTTAAATGCCCGTTTGGTATTTAGCTCAAAATCCTTAATCAATTTTCAAAAGGGAACTTTAAAGAAAAACTCCCGGTATTGTTCACTTTAACGAAAAACCACATTTTACACTAAAAATTCAATCTTGGTACTATTCATTTTACCCTTTATTTTGTCCTTATTGTTAAAACTCAAAGTTTTCAAGCATTTTTCATTAGTTTTCATTTTTCAAAATAACTTAAAAGAACTTCTCTTGAAATGGTTTATTTTTTTATTTTATTTTTTAATCCAAAAATTTGTTTGGTATTGTTTTAAGCTAATAATATTAACACCCCACAAATTGTTGAATAAATCCCATATACTTAATACACCCCACATTTGCTTTTTCAATTAAAAATTATCTTAATACACCCTACATACTTCCCCATAATACCCTCACACCCCACATTCTCAATATACACCTTACATTTTCTACATGCACCCATATTTCTATATAGCCAACATTTCTCAAATCTTATAAAGCTTTTAATTTGGACAAAAAATGCTGACTGAAATTTTGACAAAAGATGCCGTCTAGGATTTAAAGCATATGTGGGTTGTTTTCAATTCTACCATTAAAACCCATATTGTCTGTTTTTAATATTTGGTGCAAATTTTAGGTGTTTTATTCCTCATGTAATCCTTGTAATCCCTAAAAGATGAATACGAACATAGAAACTTGAATAACGTAGCAAAAGCAAGATTAAATAATTATCGATGTCGTCAAAAACACTAAAACAATAAAAAAATATGAAGTCTTACCTCATGTGAGGCTTCCGAAACATCGATTTCGTGTTACATTCATCAAAAATAATTTTTCTTAATCAACATGTTTGTAGTTTCATTGGTTAAAGTTTTGTTCAACCATGGAGGGTCAGAGGGGTTTTGATAGTTGAAGAAGATAAATAATACGTAAAAAGTGTGATTTGGGGTGTATTTATAATTTTTTTTTTTTTTTTAAACCTAATAAGGTCAAAATTACCATCGCATAGTAGGATAAATAGTAATTTAATATTAAATTTTAATGTGGGGTGCATTCAACATTTTGTGAGATGCTAATACAAAAAGCCTTATTTTAAATCTTAAACTTACTCGTAAACTGTTTTAAATCTTAAATTTAGGTAAGTCCTAGTCTGGTTTCATCGTATTGGTCGGGCAAGTAAGTTAGAATCTCATTGGCAACTACATTCCCCACCTCTTCCCTCACCATTGTAGGCACCATCCAACGCCGGCATTCCCTTAATCTTTCCGCGTAGAAATAACTAAGTGGAGCTACAGTAGAATCGAATCGGTTCATCGAACACAGGTCGACGTTTGCGGTGAACCCGAACCGATGCCCGACGGAGTGCAGGACTTGATCGATGCTGGTAGCGAAGATCACGAAAAGAGATATGAGTTTTTATAAAATAGGCAAACCAAACAAGAATTTGAGACTGGAACTCACAACTCGTTTTTAAGTTATAAAAACTATGATTGGATTGAATGTAGAACGGGCTCTAACATATCAAATGAAAAGGATGAAAAGAAAACATGAAACGAATACCTTACTTGTTTATAAGGTTATTTCTTAACCTCCGAAGAAAATTCGAACTCAAATATATTAAGAGAACGCTCATTTTCAACTAAAGTGGCTTCAGTTACGTATGCTGCTTATTTCGTTATCTTTTGACTATAAAAATTGTCATTTGTTCAAACTTATAATAGGGTTTAACTATATATTTAAAGTAAATTGCTTAAATATTATTGGGTGGATTAGTCAAAACCACTAGAATGTCACGAGGGAGAGAAAATTCTGCATTTTTTAAATAGGTTTATATAATGTATACTACTGAGAAAGATGATTGAAAAGGAGGTTTGACTCAATGAGTATGCACGAGAAAAGGTTTTCATGTCAGGTAAAGACAATTAGAAGTGGTAGATCAAATACAACTAAATAATATATTTAAAAAAAATATATACCTAATTTCTATCCCGATCTTAAATTAATTTTCTAACATTAAAAATTAATAAAGCAGATTTTATAGTGCCAAGTTAACTAGAACAAATATACTCTCTTGTAAAACCTGAATCATGAGTACGATTTCCTCTCCTTGCGCTCTAGGTTGCTGCAACTTGATTTTGATTTGTAGACCAGATTTGCCCTAGGTTTTGGACAACTCAACCTCCATATCTCTGTCACTTGAGCTAGGCAGGCACCATGTTTAGTTTATGTCCAAAACTGGTATCCATCAGATGCATTATTTGCCTTGCCTATGTTATCCACTTACGCCTTTTTTGGGATTGTTTTGTCCGGTTCCCATTTTGCTAGTTTTGTTTGATAGACGTTTCTATCTCTACTAGCTCTAACATTGGATAAGATCCGAGTAAAGTTGAGAGAGACTAAAATACATGTTATTGTTCGATGTGTTTTACAGATGACGTGATTAGGTGAGTTTCCTCATTTTCAAATAAGTCCTAGTTTTGACATTATGGATTAGAATTATGAGAATTTTCAAACGTCATTTTCGGACAGAATGAGTTTTCAAATTGTCTCATTGAGATAGTAACTACTCCCTAACAAATATTTAATAATTTTAGATGTGCTAATCAAATTAATGGATGCATTTACAAACTTTTTATTTCTCGAATAATACATTTAAGGCAAATTATTTTATGAAAATCTAGCATAACCAACCGCAGATTAATGTCACCAGAGTAATTAGTTTGGTAAAACAAAAAATCATGATTAATTAAAGTGATTAACTCTCCTAATTGACCTGACACACTCATCGTGCGATTTAAGATTCAGCTCAAAAAAGGCCACGTGGCACGTGCTCCTATATTATCTGCTTTTATAACGAAGTACACAGTTTCCGAGTGTTTTCGCAAATGACAGATACACACACACACACACTCGCTAGTACAAGAAAAACAGAGGATCGGCCAATCAACAGCAGAAGCATCAAGAATCCCATTTTCGTAAATAAAGTGTATCCAGAAGGGCATTTGTTTCCTGTCCCTTAAGCCGCAGGAAACCTCATCCTTGCCACAGTACCAGGGGGACCCACATTTTGTCTGCTGGGATTAACCGATTAATCACTGATTAAAATGGAAAATTGCCGTGCTTTTTGTGCTAATTAGTAATTAATCAGTCTTTTTTTAACAAACCTAGGCTCAGAAAGCTGCTTTGGTGTGCCTGTGCCCCCTGCTGTTGCAGAAGTGCAGGCGTTGCATATATAAATGCATAATATATATATATATATATATGTATATGTATATTTTATCTGATATGCAGTCTACCAAGACTTGTTTAATGTTATTTTTTGATATCTGTACCAAAAGCAAGGAAGGTGGAGAGAATCTAGAAATGCCCATTTCTTTTCATTTCCGGAAAAACCCATCAATAAATTATTGGGTTATAAATATTAATGGAGAGAAAAATAAATAGAGAGAGGGTGTGAGAGAAGTGAAGAAAAAGCAGAGAATAAAAAGAGACCGGATGTTGACAAATTTCATGTCACTGTTCTTAGAAGGTCGTTTGTTTGTGTGAAGATTTCTTATCTGGGATCTCTCTCTCTAACAAGTAGAAGTCTTTCTCTCTCTAAAGTTCTGTGCTTTTCTTTTTTTATTTTTTGTTAGAGAGAGAGGGTGAGGGAGATAGAGATGGAGAGAGAGAGTGGCCCATCAGATCGAAATCTCCTTTTTCTCAACCTGATGACGATCTAAGCTCCCTGAATGGTGTTTGCAAAAGCACCCACTTTGTTGTTTCTTTGTATAATTTCAGATATACAGTTTTAGTTTTCAGCTGCTTTGTTGTTTTTTCATAGCGTGAATTTTCCACCATGTGAAAGCTTCTGCTGAATGATTCAATCTGTTGGGGATGATGCTTTTGAGGAGGAGAGGTGAAAACGGGATGTGGGTCTGAGGTAAAATTCTTATATTTTTTTCTGGGTAAATTGAATTTTCTGAATTCAGATAGTTTTTTTTTGTGGTGATTTGGTGAATTGGGTATTCAAATTGACCATCAAGTTCGGCTAAATTGTTGGGTTTTATGGCTTGAATGTTTGGGTTTATGGGTTTGTGCATTTGTTTCCTCATTGCAAATTGTCGACTTTACAAAAAAGTTTTCAGGTTCTTTTCTTTGTTGATTGGTTTGTTGGAAAATTAGATTGTGTGTGTGTGTGCGTCTGGGTAATTTTAGACTTAGTTACTGTGGATTCTGGGTTTCTGTAGTCTGCAATTTTTCGAGATCTGTGTAGTTAACTTTTATTGCAAAGTTCAATTCTCGATCATAATATTTCCTGAATGTTCCAGTATGTTGGGCTTTTCCGCTCAAATTTCGCTCTGTATTGGTGATACTGTTAAAGCATGTCTCTATTTATTGCTTATTTTCTTTCAGCTTTTTTGGCCACTTTTGTTTCTGCTTCGAATTGCATTAGGTTAAAGATACCTCTTTTGTTTTCTCAAAGCTCGCATTCATTAGGCTTGATATTGAAGGGAATGGTAAATTTAGTTTCAATTGTTGTTGGTTCATTGAGGCTTCTATTGATGGGTTGATTCCGCTTTGGTTGCATCGATACCCATTGAATGCAATGGGTTCCCTGTTCGAATATAGATGACATCCGCTGATTTGGAAATCATATTAAGTGTTCACTTATGCGTGTCTTTTGTAAATTGAATGGTTTGGTATATCTTTCAATTAAGCTGTAATGTCTGCTACTTGAGGTTGTGAAACACTTTGTGCATGTGCTGTTTTGGCTCAGTTCCTTTAGTTGTCGCTGGTTTCCCTTGTATACGACAAATGTGGATTCCTGCTCTTTTATCAGCATTATGTTTTTTTCTGGTCGAATAGCAGCAGCATGTTGGATTTTGTTTGAGAGATCATGCAAAATTTTCAGCTGAAGTGCATTAATATTCATTGTTGAGGCTTTCAAGAGTGCAAAATTTTCTATATTTGGTGACATGAATTATAAATAGACTTCGGATGGTAGCTTTTATCATATTTGCGGCACTGTCAAGTTTTCAACTATGGTGTACAGGACTCGAGAGTGTCTGGAGGTATCACTTGCATTGCTCTGACAGTTCTCGGTGAAGATGGGATTCATGTAATTTGGTTCAAGAAACATTAGGTTCTCAATTTAGCCATAGTGAAAGCAAATCATGTTGCACCGTTGGCCCTTGCCCTGATTTGTGCTTGAGAATTTCCTCATCTTTGTGTTCGTAGTTTGTACCAACTTAAGTGGTTAGCACTGCTGTCATTCCCTTCATCTCACCTTATTTCAGGGTGGGGTGGGAACATGGATGATTTAATAGTTCTTATGAGTTAAATCTAAGCATCTTTCTTATTCAGGCTAGTGTGTCATATTGCACGGAAGATTTTTGTTTCCTATATATAACTGAAACAATTTCCCTCTCCGGTCATATTGAGAGCCGGGATGGGTAGTTCTGCTAAATAGGATTCTTTAACATTTACTGGATATCATTTTCCTTCTGTTGTCCATCAGTTTCTCTGTTTGGTATGCCTTTAATTTTGACACTGAAATGTTTCTTTGTTGTTTTCCTGTTCCAGGAATGGGAACAAAAATGCAGTGTAAAAGCTACATGCCCGGGTATTACTCAGTGTGGGATCTTAACGAGGATCCAAACAATTGTAGCTGGTCCTTATATTACGGAGATAAAACCTTGTCAAATAGGCAGTATCGCAATGGTTTCTTGCCGAGGGCCATGCCTGATGCTTTTCCAGGGTATGATAAGGATGTAGTCAAGCAGACCATGCTTGAGCATGAGGCCATATTTAAGAATCAGGTACTTACCTTCTTATCATACAATATTTCTAAAACCTTGACAAGTTCTTCGTGATTCTATCTGTTGGATATCTTTTTATATTTATTGAATTCTATATTTGGAGGAGCTCAATTTGGTGTATTGACTCTTTGAACCCACACGTAGAGCCTTGTTTGCTAATGTATTATTGTACTCAATACAGTAGGAACTTGAACATTTATGGGATTTTCATGTCTTCCAGGTGATTGAACTTCACCGGCTGTACAGAATTCAAAGGGACTTGATGGATGAAATAAAACGGAAAGAACCACGTAGAAACCAGATACCCATGGAGACATCATTGTTGTCAAGTCCCCTAGCATCTCAAATTACATCTGAAGATGCTCGGAAATGGCATGATTCCAGCTTTCCCTTGGTAAACTCTGTTAACGCTGGACCATCGATTCCAGGTGTTGAAGGTACCCATTCTCCATCTAGTGCCGTGAAAGGAAACAGCCGAAAAATCGGTTTGTTTCCATACCAAAATGGGATTAGTTCGAAAGTTGTTGAGGTGATGGAGTCAAGACCCACAAAAGTGAGGAAAAAAATGTTTGATCTTCAACTTCCAGCTGATGTGTATGTTGATTCTGACGAAGGGGAGCAGTTCACTGATGAGAAAGCTTCTGGCACTCCTACTTGTCAGCCGAATAAAAATTGTAAAACCACACTTGAGGGTGGTGCAAAGCTCTTTTTCTGCGAAGGTGCGAAGGCAGATTGCAAAGGACATGTTTCAAGATCTGATAAATGTTTGAGGAGCACAAATGGTTTGGCTGACTTGAATGAGCCTATTCAAATTGAAGAAACAAATGCTTCAGAATATACTTATCCTCTGGGCCATGACTCCTATCATGGAAAGATTCAGGGTCCCGATCAGGCTGCTAAGTCTAGATTGCAGCTTTTAGGTTTGCCGAAGGAAATATCAGTCAACCCTCATCATGTAAGTGATAAGGTTATCCCGAACAACATATATTTGGAGAACGGAAGTGGAAAAGGGTGGTTTTCCCATGTTCTTGAAGCAGGTATACATGAAATTTGATTAAACTTTAAGTTAGTCCTTTTTGACATCTGCATTTCCTTTTATTTTAGTATTCGTATGTGCAGTTATTGTAGATTCTAGATTGTTTGAAAGAAATTGATAAAGAAATCAAAATAATAAATACGAATGTATTAGAAAACAATAAGTTTAATAGAAATATAGAAGATGAAATAAAGGATTAATCAAACAACTTATATTAGTCTTCAGAGCTGCAGGATCATCTCATGCTTTCACAATTGACCATGCACGTATTTGGTGAATCTTTAGGCACCTGTTGAGGGCTATGTTGCCATTCGGCTAGGCTTTGAGAATGCATAATTTCTTGTTATAGATTTCTTCCATTATAAAAATTAATATCAGCTCTCATTGTATTACAGGGCAAAGTAAAAGCAACCTTAAAACTGCTTCCCAATGTCTCCAAACAGAAAGGTTGCCGATATCGTCCCATCCAATGCAAGTTTCTATTCACAATGTTCACGAAACCGCTTTCTATCTGACTGATAAAAGCAAGGTGGACTTGTGGAGAGATAGGACAGTTTGTGGTGCGGAGAATTCGGATAGAAGTCATGAAATTTCCAATAATAAGCATCAGAATATTTTTGTGACTTCTCATATGCCCAGTCCATATCATCACATTCTTCCTTCCTCGGATGTGGCCAGGTCATGGACTCACTCGGTTTCATCTTGGGAAAAGCCAGGCAGTGGCGTAAGCCAAAAGCCAATATCAGTTCAAACTCACCCGTGTTTTCCTTCATCTGCTACCTTGAGCAAGAGTTCCCAGTCATCAGTTCAGAGCAATGGGATCTTTGGAGATAGGTGGTATCTTAACAGCAATTCTAGTTCTAACCATGGTTCTGGAAGTGAAGTACGATACCAAAATGGTTTTCACCATGGTTCATCTTCAGGGTCTAAGGAACTAGTTCGCTTCCCGTCTCGCAGCTGCGACTATCAGAGCAGCAGTAACGATCACAACGGAGGCCCTGAGCACTTGAGGAGTCAGGGTTCAGCGACACACTACAAGGGTTCAAATTGCAAGGATGTGAAGTTTGCAAAGGAAGTAAACTTAAATGTGGTGCTTTCAAAGAGCTCATCCGATGAAGAAATACCACAGCAATGTCTTAGGATCGTAGGGGGGGAACAAAAGCATGAGGACCATCTTACAGCTTTGCCGTGGCTAAGAGCCAAGCCTGCTTCTAAGAATGAGTTTGCCAATGTAGGCAGAGTTTCAAAGACTGGTGTGGAGGATTTTAATCAAATTTTTGCCGAGGACATAAAATCAGTTCCTTGCGAGAATGATGTTGAGGCCAAAAGGACTGAACTAGGTGACAGCCCGTGCAAGAGAAAACTTCTTGGGTTTCCTATTTTTGTTAAGTCCCATAACACTAAGAACGAGTCTTATTCTCTTACGTCCCCGTCTGTGGAAAATAACAAGAGAAACGGAGGACTGGATATCAACTTGCCTTGCGATCCTTCAGCTCCTGACTTGGCCACAAAGAATGTAGAAGAAATTGTAGTTGTAGAAGAGAGAATAGATACGAAGGTTGCAAGTTTCAGACATGTCATCGATTTGAACTCGTGTGTTAGTGATGATGAAGAATCTTGAAACCTTCTGCTCCAACCACCAGTGTGAAGATCACAGTAGAAATAGATTTGGAAGCCCCAATTGTACCCGGGACTGATGAAAGTGTCATTCATGTGGAAGCATCTCCTGAAATGCAGAAAGCAAGGCCTTTAGCATCGCCACAACACCCAGCTGAACCTCCTCAAGAGGAACTTGTGAGAGTAGCAGCGGAGGCAATTGTTGCCATCTCATCATCTGGTCCCTACAATCATACTGATGAATCCTCTTGCAGTCCACCGGAAGCTTCTTCAATCGACCCCCTTCTGTGGTTTGTGGAGATAGCTTCCACTTGTGGGAATGATCTTGAGAGCAAGTTTGACATCGTTGTGAGAGACAAAGATGGTGATGATGATGATGAATCTTTATCAGACGCGTTTGATTACTTTGAATTCGTGACTTTGAAACTGAGAGAGACCAAGGAAGAAGATTACATGCCTAAGCCTCTGGTTCCAGAAAACTTGAACCTGCAAGAAACAGGAAGCACATTACTACCAAATCCTCCCAGAAGAGGCCAGTCAAGGAGAGGGAGGCAGCGGAGGGACTTCCAAAGGGATATCCTTCCCGGTCTTGCTTCCTTGTCAAGGCACGAGGTGACAGAAGATCTCCAGACATTTGGAGGATTAATGCGGGCAATGGGCCATTCATGGCAGACGGGACTAACCAGGAGAAACTCAACAAGAAACGGTTGTGGTAGGGGCAGGCGACGAGCAGTGGTGAATCCCTCTCCTCCTGTGGAAACTATCCCAGCTTGCAGTCCACTGGTACAGCAGCTTAATAATACAGAAATGGGACTGGAAGATAGAAGCCTAACCGGTTGGGGTAAGACAACCAGAAGGCCTCGTAGGCAAAGATGCGCGGCAGGTAGTAATCTCCCATCATCCGTCCCTTTAACCTAAACAATGGGAAGAGGGTTTTAACTTGTTGAGTTTCCTTAGAGAAAAAATAGGGTGGTGGTTTCTGTGGCTGCAGGGGTTTGAGGTTGCCATGGGGATTGACTGCCCTCTGTACATTTCTTAGCCCAAAGTTTGGGTTGGTTTGATTTTTCTGTCTTTGGGTGGTACCATCTTTGTATTTTTCATAAATAATGTTGCATAAATTTATTCCCGGATAGATACCACTCCTCTTTTATTTGCTCGTACATTGCTTCTCTTCTGGGAATTGAGATGTGAATTTATCGCTTATTTCAGATGTAAATATTCTTCTTTTGATTTATGTTTATTCATCTGATCCAAACTTCGAAGTTCGAAGGAGATTCAAACTAGGGTGCAGAGGCAGGAACACATTTTTTCTAGCCAACTCAGCTATACTCCAGTCTACAATATGTTTCCTAGATTGACCCCCGGGTTTTTTTTTTCTTTATACAACGATATAAGCGGATGAGGTTTGAACTACGTCACATAATGAGCTAATAATAATCTTTATTATCAAATTCACTATTCATGAAAGGTGAACTTAAAACTTACCACTTACGAGTAAAGAATAATACTACAAAACTGTAATGTTAGAAGGGGCGGAAATTTGATATTTGATTCTTTTTGGTAATGTTGTTGCCACATGAGCACGTAAAAGAAGAGAACAAGTTTACACGTGGCCACATGATGTGCCTTGTTTGTTTGCGAACCAGGAAAGCGGTTTTGGTTCATTCTCTAACTTTTTGCAGAAATTAGGCAAGGTTTTTGGCCAAACATGTCCCACCAATAAGCTTCCTTTAATTTTCAATTTGCATTGACAAGGCTAAGATTAACAAATTAAAATATTATGTACCCAACCAACAAGAAGCTCTAAATGGAATTTGCCGTGGTCGACGCAATCTTTGCCAACCTATTACTTTACCTAATCTCCACCTTCTCATATCTTCGTCCTTTTATTAGTAAAAAAATTGGTCAAAACTTTAGTAGTGTTGTACGATCACATTATTTATAAAATAAATAAATACCAGATTTGTTGCGCGTTTTTTGTTTAATTGATCTTACGCAACCTATTCAATGGGAGATTATGACATTAATCAAAGATTTTGATATTTAATTTATTTATTCACAACGAATAGAAGATTGACATTAATAGATGGTAAAAAGTTAATGTAATGATTTACTATCATTGGCTCTGTATAGTAGTATTATTCTTTACTGGTAAATGATAAATTTTATGTTTAAATCGTATTGATGGCGTGTTCAAACCAATTTAACTCCCCCTCCTTAATGTAAATATCTAGTTGTATTTGAAAAAACTTATTATTCTTGTATAGAAAAGTTAAGCCCACTAAAAGCAATTCCACCCCTAAAGACTTTGCGCCAGCATTCAATGTATTTATCTACTCAGTGAACAGTGATTGACCCCAATGAACAGTAATAGGCCAAGAGCATCTCCACCCCTAAAAAAAAAAGCCTAGTCAATTTTCCTTGTGCCCGTAACACAAATGGTATACCACGTGTTATTATATAAGTGGTGAAAATTTTTATTTTTTATGTTATTAATTTTTTAACACAAGAATCTCACAACTTGTATAAAATGTACCACCCCTTGTCTTAGGCATATTGAAAAGTTTATCGTCATCATGACTACTATTGGAAAACAACACTACAAAAATAAAACAGGAGAATGTAATTCAATTCGAAGTATTTTTCTTATTCTAAGACAAAAAAAAAAAAAAAAACTATTAATGTAGCTGACGATGGGACAAAAAGGTGGGAGATAAAAGTGGAGTGTTTGAAGGGGGTACGCGCCCCAACGCAAGTTGGGTTTGTTACGTTTTTTTTTAATATTTTTATTAGTTTTTTGTTCTTATTATTAAATAAAGTTAGTGGATGATTTTTAATTAAAATGTAAAGATTTGAAGTCATTTTCATTAGTTTTCTTATTAAATAATAGATGTCCTATTCTTGCTTTGTTTTTTAACCAAAAAATAAAAATAGAAATAAAAAATAACAAAAATAAAACGGACCTTAAGCTTCAGAACCGGGCCATAATTTTTGGCCTGACCAATTTCTCAAGGCCCATAAAATAACGCAAAACAAAAGGTCAGGACGCGCCAAAACAAGAACCGGATGGGTGGTTTAGCGGCATCAGCGGCCATAAATCAACCGCTTTTCAAACACTGAAAAATTTTCCGACAATTTAAAAAACAAAAGGAAATTTGATGAGGACGGCGGTGAAGAAATTCGTCTCCCCCTTACATCTGCAAATACCCAAAACGCCCTTACGTCAGGGTCGGACTCTGACGCATGCCATCTACCAATCACCACCGTTGGAGCCACCCGACCTTTCTCAAACCATAGCGTCGACGCACGCGGTATTTTCGAACCCGTGTTTTAATCTTCTCGTTTTGTGCAGGAACATCGATTCCCTGAAGAAAGTCCACAGCTTGCTCGTCCTCCACGGCCTCGCCGACGATCTCCTTTGCCGAACAAAATTGATCAGTTTATATGGATCATTTGGGTACATCAAGTGTGCCCGGTATCTGTTCGATAAAATGCCAAGCCCAGATTTTTATTCGTGGAAAGTGATGCTGAGGTGGTACTTTATGCACAATTTGTATGAAGAGGTTATAGGGTTTTATAATCGTATGAGAATGTGCGTAAGAGAGCATGACAACGTTGTTTTCTCGATTGTGTTGAAGGCGTGTAGTGAGTTGCGAGATTTTGATGAAGGGAGGAAGGTGCACTGCCGGATTGTTAAGGTGGCGAGTCCTGATAGTTTCGTGTTGACGGGTTTGGTGGATGTGTATGCGAAGTGTGGATGGATTGAGTGTTCTCAGGTGGTTTTTGAAGGGATTGTTGATAGAAATGTGGTTTGTTGGACTTCAATGATAGTTGGGTATGTGCAAAATGATTGTCCGGAAGATGGTTGGTCTTGTTTAATAGGATGACAGAGGGGTTAGTTGAAGGGAATCAGTTCACGTTAGGAAGCGTACTTACGGCGTGTACAAAGTTAAGATCTTTGCATCAAGGAAAGTGGATTCATGGACATTTGATTAAGAATGGTATTGAACTTAACTCTTTTCTGGTGACATCCCTTCTGGACTTGTATGTCAAGTGCGGGGACATTGGAGATGCTCGTTCCATATTTGATGAGTTTTGTGGGACCGATCTTGTTTCATGGACAGCAATGATTGTAGGGTACACTCAATGTGGGTATCCCGACGAGGCTTTGGAGTTGTTTACGGATAGGAAATGGGTTGGTCTCTTGCCCAATTCTATAACTACTGCAAGCGTGCTTTCATCTTGTGCACAGTCAGATAATTTGAATTTGGGAAGGTCAATCCACGGTCTTGGGATAAAACTTGGGTTGGAGGAACCTACTGTGAGAAATGCTCTGGTGGACATGTATGCAAAATGCCATATGATTGGTGATGCTCGTTATATCTTTGAAACAATCTCCAACAAGAATGTGATTGCTTGGAATTCAATTATTTCTGGGTATTCCCAAAACGGGTCTGCACATGAAGCCCTCCAACTGTTTCATCAAATGAGATCAGAATCATTCTCACATGATGCGTTCACATTGGCAAGTGTCCTCTCAGCTTGCGCTTCCCTTGGTTTTCTTCCAGTTGGTTCATCGCTTCATGCTCACTCCATAAAGGATGGCCTATTAACTGCAAATATCTATGTTGGCACTGCACTTTTAAACTTCTACGCCAAGTGCGGGGATGCTGAATCTGCTCGTCTAGTTTTTGATGCAATGGGAGAGAAGAACACTATCACATGGAGTGCAATGATTGGCGGTTATGGAATTCAGGGTGACAGTACAGGTTCCGTTGCACTTTTCAGTGATATGTTGAAGAATCATCTGGAGCCCAACGAAGTAATCTTCACGACCTTATTGTCAGCTTGTAGCCATACGGGAATGATTGCAGAAGGGTGGAGGTATTTCAATTCACTCTGCAAAGACTATAACTTCAAGCCCTCAATGAAGCATTACGCGTGTATGGTCGATCTATTGGCTCGTGCTGGTAAACTTGAAGAGGCCCTGGAATTCATTGAGAGAATGCCGATTCAGCCAGATGTTAGTTTGTTTGGGGCTTTTCTCCACGGATGTGGACTCTATTCGAGGTTTGATCTTGGCGGAGTGGCGATAAGAAGAATGCTAGAGCTGCATCCTGGTGAAGCTTGCTATTATGTGCTAATGTGTAACCTTTATGCTTCAGATGGTCGATGGAGCCAGGTTAATCAGGTTAGAGAGCTAATGAAGCAGAGAGGATTGAGCAAGTCCCTTGCATATAGCCAAGTAGAGATGGATATCAGAAATCACATTGCACCTGTTAGGTTGGCATGTCTTGCTTAGGATATAAAGAGTCAATTTTCGAGTGAGGAGATGTAGCAATGCCAAGAGTCAAATTGCAGCGGCGCCCTGCACCCTGTTGATTACCAGTTCTTGCACAGGAACTGCACCCAAGATCTGGATGAATGGATACAAAATTTGAAGCCCCAAGAGTAAGGCACTTTCTGCAACTTCAGCATCCTGTTGGTCTGAAGGTAACATTCACGGGCATGCTTCTTCAAAAACTAATTAAGAAACATGGCATTCTGTACGGCTACCCTGGATGACTTAACAGCATTCGATTAAGAGATCATCCGTGACGATCGTTGATGCAAGACTTGGAAGGCACAATGTACAAGGCGGCCTGCGGGTTGAGTGAACAGATTTGTACTTGGATGTGAATAGTGGTGCACCAAAAATGAAAGAAATAATGGGAAAATTCAAAATTAATCGAATGTGTGTGTTACAATTATTGTCATTTGACAGAATAAATTCGGTAAAATTACAACCCTTTGGGTGTTGACCTCCAAAAATACAATGAACAAACTCAAATCTCTTACCTGCCTGTGATTTTAGTCTTCAGACACACTTCAAGAACGAGTAGAACGCACAAGGCAGGCGTTCCTTAGAAATTCAAGTGCCAATTCTGAATGATCTGCCGGCTTCACACTCCGACTTGTATATAATTCTTCAAGAGAATATAATAGTGTCAGGATTCAACACATCAAATTCTACGTTATCCTTTATTCACGAGTGAGAGACTGAAATTTTTCCAAGAAACTGTAAACCTCCTTCATTTGGGGAAGAGGGGTATCTCCAGCTCCAAATCTGTGAACTTGCTTATCGAGCTCAATTATACTGTATCCGGGGACCTTCCTTAGACCGATACCTTTCATCATTAGTCTCACATTTCCAAATTCATCCC